GCAGTGGTCAGCAAATTCTGTAATAGAAAAAAATCATATATGGTCTTTGTCGCACATTTGTTTTTGTTTTGTTTACAATCCTTTAAAAATGTAAAAAACATTCTTAGCTCATGGGCTATTAAGAAAGTTGGCCCCATGACTCCTGCAGCCATAGTTTGCCCAATTCCCTCATTTTATATTTTGAAGACACACAGGCCCTGAGAGAGGCAGTCACTGCCCCAGGACTCCTAATTCTCAAGTCAAGCTGTTGCCATGGTCCCTGTAGCCGCTATTGCATTCACTCAACAAGTATTTACTGGGAGATTACTATGTACCAGTCACTGCGTAAGGGGCTGCTTTGGGGTGAAGGGATAAGAGCTGGTCATCAGAGCTAAGAGTACAGAGGGGAGGAAGACATTAGGCAAGTAGTCACACAAATGAATACATAAGTACAAACTGAAATAGTGCTGGAAAGGAGAAGAATGTGATGGTTGGAAAGAAAATAACAGGCAAGGAAATGCCATTTAAGCTTAGTTCTGAAGATGAGTAAAAGTAACTCAGGAAAAGCATATAAAAAGGGATAGGAAATTCTTGGCAGAGACTCTGGCAGAGTAGGTAGAGAATTGGCAGAGAGATGCCAGTAGTGGAATGAAGAGGCTAAAGGCAGAGTGTGGGCTTCAGCCCACAGAGTGAGAAAGCTAAGTGCCTTTGGACAGGAGTTGCTGGCAAAGTTGGGTGCAACTAAGTGCCTTTATCAACAGAGTTAAAAGAACTTTATAACATCGGGAGCTGTTAGTAGCGTAGTGCCTAAGGCACTTGACTGCTAACCAGAAGGCTGGCGGTTCAAACCCACTGGCCACTCCTCGGAAGGAAGATGGGGCAATCTACTTCTGTAGTGATACTGCCTCGGAAACCCAAGGAGGGGTCGCTATGAGTCGGGTCCCACTCAACAGCACATAACAACAACAACATTTGCCAAAGCAGGGCATAGGCCAAGCCAAGAGGCCCAAGGCCAAAAAAAGGCATGGGCGAGGAGTGGCTATCCTGATGGAAGAATTGTATCCTGAGCTCTCATTCCTGAACCTGAATTGTAACTTTTTGCTTCCCTAATAAACGCCATGCCACACCACAATCTTGGGGGGGGGCGGGGGCGGGGGAGAAAGGATAGGAAATTCTATTGTTTTATTGTAAGTGCCATTGGTTTTGAAAGGAGTATCAAAATCATTCAATTTTCTGTGGCAGTATATTGGAGGGAGACAATAGGTTGGAATAGATTTGAAGAAGGAAGACAAGTTAGCAGACTTACCTAACTGTTCATTTGGCAGTTGATGGTGGCCTAGAGTGGTAGTGGTAGACATAGAGATAGTGAACAAATTTGAGAAATATTTAGGAGGTTGATTCATCAGGGTGTAGATAGCAAGGGTGGGAAGACAGGCAGTATCAAGAATGACTCCAGGCTCCCAGTTTGGTGCCATTTACTGAGATGAGAAGTCCAAGGAAGGAACAGTTTGGAGAGGGAAGTTCGAGTTCAGTTTCAGATGTACTCAGATGCAGACCTCTATGAAACATCCAAACAGAGAGAAGTAGGTGGATGGATATATGGATTTAGAATTCTGAGACGTGGTCTGAGTGAAAGATAAGTTGGGTGTTGGTGCCCATCACTACCACTGAGCTGCACAGTGCTTGTCAGGGCCAGAGTGACACAGAGCAAAGAGCACCAAGTTGGGCTGGGCATCAGGGATGTGGGTTCTAGTCCCAGTTCTGTCACTAATAACCTGAATTTCTGAGTTTCACTTTCACCATCACCAAGGAGACTGGCCTAGATAAGGGCTTCCTAGTCTTTTTTGGAGAGGAACTACCTCCTCTGCCCCAAAATGAATACATGAGACACATTATATACTATTTCAGGGGTTCACCCAGCTTCTGGAACCTTTCTGTGGACCCCAAATTAAGAACTCCTGGACTATATGACCAGATGATTAAAGCTCAGGAGGTATTCTTGATATACACTTTAAATATCTGTTGGTCCTCCAGGTGCCCCTAGAGAATATGACAGTTGTTGTCCCCCACAGTGGGGGACACTAGGACCTAGATGTGTCTTGCTCTCTACCAAAAAGTGTGCATACCATGAAGCTAGCCAGTGTATTCAAAGGTCTCAACCTACTTTTCAAGTTTTACATTCTTTTACCCTTTCTTCTTGGCATATGCTCCAGAAACATTCGACTATACAAACTCTCTCTCTCTCTCTTTTTTTTTCCCTCTTCCTTTTCTGGAATGCCCTTTCTCACCTCCACACGGGCAAGCTCAGCCTACCCTTCAGTGTCTCGAATGCCTCTTCTATGTCTCCCACCCATTCTCCCAGACTAGAAGTTACCTCATTCTACTCTGAACATCCACTTTATTTGTATCCCTCTTAAGGGACTTACCACATTTTCCTTTTTTTGTAGTTAAATGTGCATGAATCTTGCTTGCCTCCTCTACTGAAAAGGAGGCAAAGCATCTGGCACATGGAAAACAATCCATAAGTATGAGCACTGTTATCTTTTATAAAGAACTTTCTCACATATCCCTTATCTCATCTGAGTGAGCTCTTGATCCCAACCACCACTGCCCATCTGACATTGGTACCCTGCCTAGACAACTGGCCCACCTGGCACTGTAGTGGCAGCTTCTCCACCCCCATTCCTCTGTCCAGTCTGCACACTGATATTGACTATTTTATTTAAAAATCCCATTATATTACTTCTCTGGTATGCATGTGTGTGTATATATATATAGATACACACAGACATACATACACACATACATACACACACATACACATCAATGGCTTCCCATTGCTTTCCTCAGGAGTTCTCAACTTCAGGGTTCCAACACATTGGCCTGATCTGGTGTGAAATGTTGCAAATAATTTCTCATTGTTAATGAAGTAGTAATTAATTGTATGAGTCCATTACTATAAAAAGTCAAGGAAAGGAAAAAAAAATATATAATAAAGCACTAATTAAATGATTTAACACATGCAAAGCAACTACAATAGTGATCAGCACATAGTATACATTATATACCTGTTCCAGTTACCTAGTGCCGCTCTGACAAGAAATATACCACAAATGGGCTGGCCTTATTCTTACAACTTGGAGGCTTTAAGTCCAAGTTCAAAGTGCCAGGCTCTAGGGGCTGGGTGAAAGCCCCTCAACCTAGGGGTCCAGCTCTGCCTCCTGCTCCTGGCCCACTGGAGCTAGAGGCATTTCTTCAGTCAGACAGCTGTTGGCTGCTGAGGCTGTGAAGCCCCAAGGTTGACAAGTAAAAAGGCACAGTCCTGATGTTACCAAACCACACGGCAGAACATTAACTTAAGTCCATTGTAAGTCCCAAGATCAGCAGAGCATAGCAGGCTGCTGAGCAACGACACGGCTACATGCAGGGTCCAAGCATGCCATAAGCTAGAGACCATTCTCAAAGCTTCTCCTTATATACAGGAAGCAGACCACATACCCAAAGGCAGCTACTCAGCTGCCCCCAGTAGATTCCACCATGGAGTTGATTACCAGTCTCATCATGGGGAATACTACATCCAGCTGCCCAGCCACTCAACCAGGCCTAGCCAAGTTGACATACAAACATAACCATCACAATACCTACTAGGTATTACTAATACTGAAATGTTATGATTTATAAGGGATATAGCAGATGCCTTTGGTGCCTTTTAGACATCCCTGAAGGAGCCCTGGTGGCACAGTGGTTAAGTGTTTGGCTGCTAATAGAAAGATCAGCACTTTCAACACACCAGTGCTCCACAGGAGAAAGATTTGGCAGTCTGCTCTGTAAAGCCTCGGAAACCCTATGGGGCAGTTCTATCCTGTCCTACAGTGTTGCTATGAGTTGGAATAGACTCAATGGCAGTGGGTTTGGATTTTTGGTTTTGTTGGTTCAGTTCTGATTTCAGCTGTAGCTGCAGTGGAAAATTCTGTGCAGGCTGACAGCTTTTCTGTCCTAGATGCTACTTCTCACAGCTCATTCAGCCCATCAGCAGGACAGCCTAAAGTATACGGGAATTAACTGACATTAAAAACTAAAAAACCAAACTCACTGCCGTGGAGTTGGATCTGACTCATAGCGAACTCCCTTGGGTTTCTGAGGCGGTATCACTATGGAAGTAGATTGCCCAACCTTCCTCCTGAGGAATGGCTGGTGGGTTTGAATCTACAGCCTTCTGGTTAGCAGTCAAATGCCTTAGGGACTATGCTACCAGAGCTCCCTAAGGCACATTAGGGGCATTAATTTCCATCCAATTAATTACTGCACTCTCTTTTCAACCTGGCTACAACTACGACCATGATTCAGGGAGAACAGAAATCTTAATTACATTTTGATCAGTGTCTCGATCAATGTCTCATTCCCTGGCATGTTACTAAAACCTTCCTGTGGAACCCCAGGCTACCTGCCTGAGCCTTCAGACTCTTGCTTTTGGCTCACTATCACATGATAAGAAGTCCAGCACCTAAGTATCTGCTACTTGAAAAGGGTAGGAGTGGAAAAGGAAACATACGGCAAAGTCATAGGTCACAACGCTAAAGCGGGGGTGAAGTGAGAACAGGGGTGCCTTGACCCTGGCCTTTCTTCCGCCCAAGGCTCTAAGTGGAGTTGAATCTGCCTTCAGGCCAGACTGAATGAAGCACCCTCCAGCCACAGTCAAAACAGAAGCGGAATCAGAGCCTGACGGCGCAGGCGCACGAAGGAGCCTAGAGTCCCTAGCAGGCTCACCCCGGGGCCTCTCTCAGACAGGGGCTACAGGGAGAGTAGTCACGCAGCGCGAGGAGTCTCCTGTGCGCCCCACCTTCCTCTTAAGGCCCTTAGACTCTCCAGGAAAGGTCTGAAAGCCCATCTTCTGAGGCCGTCGGGACCCCCTTGCTCCCGCCCAGAGCCTGGTAGAACCTGGACAGCGGGTGCCAGCCGCAGGCGAGGTGCAAGAACAGGAAGGACCGCTCAGGATAGGCCCTCCTCGCCGCCGTTCTCACCTCTTTGTCCGCCGCCTTCTCCTCGATCCCTAGCAGCGCGTACAGGTCCATCTGTAAGAGCTCCTTGGTCCCCGCCATGGTTTCAACTCTGGTTCGGTTCGTACTACAACTCCCAAGAGTCTAAGCGTGCGACGGGACTCTCGGGGGACTGCCGGCTCGGAGTGGGCTGAATGACGCTTAGCCCCCTGGGAATTGTCGTGTTCTGGATCTGACTGGACTAACTCTGAGGGAGGCGGGCAAAAGTGAATGAACTACGACTCCCAGAAGTCCCCGCTCCCGCCGCGGCCGCTCTCAGGCAGGAGTGGTCTGTCCCTATTCCTGGCCAGAGACTGCAGTACGAAAGTGCGAGTGGGCCTTTTTCCGAGTGACTGAGTGTCTGCGTGTCCTGCACCTGAGGGCGTGACCTCAATTTGCAGACCCTGCCGCGTCTGGGGCCAAGATGGACAGTAGGTGCTATGGCTGCGCAGCCAAGTTCACACTCTTCAAAAAGGAGGCGAGTCTTTACCCCGGGGCTGGAGGATCAGGGAGGATGCGGAGTGGAGGGAAAAGCACGGGATTTGCAGTGCAAAGACATGTGTTTATAGCCCGGTTCAGCCCCTTTCCAGCTATGTTATTTTGATGAAGTCACGGAGCCTCAGTTTCCATTTCTGTAAATGGACTAATACTACTTCGCATTCGGAGTTGGTCCATTGAGATCTGGAGGTGAAAGTGCCCTATAACCTGTAAAGCATGCTGCCTTCGTTTTTGGAAAGCTACTATTTTCTGTCGATCAGGTGTATGATCCAGCTGTTTTCCTTCTTTCCACCCTGCCCGTCTGCAGGCTGGTCTTACTTAATGCCCTGTGACCACTCTCCATCACACATTCTGGTTACTCTGTTCTCCATAGAGCAACTTTCCCTTCCCAGTCCTCCTGAGTTAGATTGCCATCCTACCTCTTGCCCCCAGGGCACCATGGAAAAGGCATGCAGGGACCTCAGGACATGCCAGGTTCTCTTGGTAATTATAGGCTTCTTGTGCCTCAGCTATGGCCAGGGCATCTGAACAAGAGATGAGAACCAGGTGGGATGGATTAATGGCACATAGGAGTCCTAGTGGTGCAGTTGTTAGAGCATTCATTGCTAACCAAAAGGGCAGTTGAAACCCATTAGCTTTGAGGAAGAAAGATGAGGTAGTCTGCTTTTGTAAAGATTTACAGTCTTGGAAACACTATGGGACAGTTCTACTCTATCTTGTAAGATCCTTGGAGTCGGAATCAACTCCATGGCAGTGGGCTTTTCTGTTTTTGCTTTTCTTTAGGGCCACAGGATGGGGTAGCACTTAACCTGGATTTTGGGGTCAGGGTGGTCAGGGTTCAAATTTTAGTTTTGCTGTCGTGTTCACAGGATCTCCTTGGTTTGGGCAAGTCGTGTAACCTCTCTGGCCCTGTCTAAAACAGGAACAATAAATGATGGTCATCAAAATTTATTATCTTAATAAATTTTACACAGGAACTCTGGTAGCAGAGTGCCTAAGGCATTTGTCTGCTAACCAGAAGGCTGGTGGTTCAAACCCACCAGCCACTCCTCGGAAGGAAGGTTGGGCAATCTACTTCCATAGTGATACAGTCTTGGAAACCCAAGGAGGGGTCACTATGAGTTGGATTCGACTCAACAGCAGTGAGTTTGGTTTTTGGTTTTGGAAATTGTGAGGGTTAAATTGATGAATGTTTGTACTGAGTTCAGTGCCTGGCACACAGTAAGGGCTTAATAAATGGAAGCTATTGTTATCATCCCATTCCAAGCCAAGCTGCCCTCCTACTCTGCTGGAGCAGAGAAGGCATGTGCCATGCGCTCTCTTTAATTCTCCTTTGTTGAAGAGTCGATGACCTGAAGCATGAAACTTCGCCTTTCTGCCTTCTACACCCCTGTACCAGAGAATTGAAGCCAGGGTAGAAAGCATTGGAAATTTTTCATGAAGCCTTATTTGATTTGAATAAGAGACTGGAGACTGAGAAACCACTCTACCCTCAGCCCCTGTCTATCCCCAGGGCTTAGGGGTCCCACTTCTCTTCCTCCTCCCAGTAACTGGTCACAATGGCAGTGTCTTTCCCCCTTTGTGTGCTTGAAGAGTCCCAGGGAGGAGCCTGCAGGAGCAGGTGAGAGGTGTATCCTCCTGCTTCATGTTTCCTGTAGTATGGCTGTAAGAACTGTGGCCGAGCCTTCTGTTCTGGCTGTCTCAGCTTCAGTGCAGCAGTGCCCCGGGCCGGGAACACTCAGCACAAAGTCTGCAAGCAGTGCCACGAGATCCTGACCAGGTGAGAGACAGGCATGGCCAGGGTCCAGCCAAGCATGGCAGCGGGTGGCTGGTAGCCCTTGCAGCTCTGAGCTCTATGAGCAGGACTCAGCCCAGGACATTGGGAGTGGGGGAGGGAAAGGCACTGCCTAGCAGTGTGGCAGAACTTGTGACACTAAATTTCTTACCTATAGAGGGTCCACTCCTGCTAACACCTCCAAGTGGTCACCACCTCAGAATTATAAGAAGTAAGTGCTGAAGAGAAAAAGAGGAATGGGGATGGGGAGAGGACAAAGGAACCATTAGGGCAGGACTCTACTCCCAGCCTCTAGATCAGATTAGCCCAGGGTCAGGAGAATACCCTTCTTTTAGGCTCCTGACTTCCCTCTCTTGGGCTTAGAAAGCAGCTCATCAGCCCTTTCCCCACAATAGGCACTTGATAGACCTTGCCTTCTCTGCAGGAGCTGGGTAGGGCTGCGGGGCAACATGAGCACAGACCACAGAAGACTGTGACACAGAGACCCCCTCCCAGATGCCTAGCAATGGTTTGAATGGGAAATAGTAAGTGGGCACCACTGTCCCTACTTCTGCCTTCCTCAAGAGCCTCTATCTCATGTCATACCAGACGCATGGCAGCTTTGGAAGCCAAGCAGAAGCCCAGCACTCCCCAGAGCCAGCGACTGACCCAACAAGACCAGGTCATTGCTGAGCGCTTAGCACGGCTCCGCCAGGAAAACAAGCCCAGTGAGTAATGGCGGGCAGGGTGGCCTGAAAGACCCTGATGGGGATTCCTGGGATTGCGATTCCTCTGACCCTTACAGGGCTTCCTCTCATGCCAATTGCAGAGTCCATACCCTCGCAAGCGGAAATAGAAGCCCGGCTGGCTGCACTGAGGGATGAACCCCAGGGCTCCATCCCCTCCACCCAGGAGATGGAGGCACGGCTTGCCACTTTGCAGGGCAGGGTTCTGCCCTTTCAGACACCCCATCCAGTGAGTGCCACGGCTTGAGTAGGAAGGGTGTCCTAGGAAGAGGGTCTAGCAGAAGCTCAGATGTATGGTTATGTACTTTGCAGAGTTAGCAAATCCTCTCACCCCCAACTCCTAATCCTCAAGTCTGCTGCCAGGCCAGGGAGCCAGGGGTAAGTAGCAGGATTGGGTAGAACACAAAAAGTTGGACCTCATTCTGTTGGGTACTGCCAGACCCACTAGTTTATATGAGCCCTGAATTAATCTCCCTTCTCTGGGTGGCACAAATCATTAAGCACTAAGCTGCTAACCAAAAGGTTAGCATTCGAATCCACCCAGAGGCACCTAGGAAGGAGGGCCTGGCAATCTACTTCTGAAAGATCACAGCCATTGAAAACCCTGTGGAGTGCAGTTCTCTGACACACATGGGAATAGGGTCGCAATGAGTTAGAATCTACTCAGTGGCAACTGCTTCTGGTACTCCTTGGGCTTTGAGAACTCCTTAGCATTACCCCTGACCTAGACTGCTTCTGGGCCTCATGGTGTGGCTTTCCCTCCCCGTATACTGAGGTTCCCCCCTCTGGGCAGGTACATCAGACACCAGACACCAGGACCCAGATCCAGCAGGCACAGGATCTGCTGACACAGCTAACAGCTGAGGTGGCTATTGATGAGAGCTGGGAACAAGGCCCAGGTAACTCCTCCACCTAGCTCCTCCAGAGACCTGTCCCATCCCTTTCCTCAGGTGTAAGAGGCTCTGCTGCCTACCCTTGGGGGAGATGAATACAAATCAGAACAGTCAATATTGTAAGAGCTACCATTTAGAGTGCTTACTCCAAAAGGAGCCAGTGGAAGTCTAGTTGTTAAGTGTGTGAGCTGTAGAATCAGTTCTACCATTTACTAGCTGTGTGACCTTGGGCTAGACACTAAGGTTCACACAGCTGTTAAGTGGTAGAGCCTTGAAACCAAAGTTGTCTGACATCAAACCTGCTTGCTCTGAAACTAAGCATGTCAGAGCCACATCATCCACTTTGGTAAAATCCTTCCTGACACACAGGACCTAGGCTTTCCTTCAGCCCTCTCCATGCTGTCCCTCGGACATGCTAATCCTAGCCCTGAAAGGCAAAGAGACTATCTAAGTCTTGGCTTCCTGCTACCCCATATCCTCATCCTTTCCTTTAGGACAGTGAATCTTAAATTGTGAGACATCTTCTGTAAGAGCAACATGTTAAAATATCAAAAGAGTGGCGATGGGTATAATTGGAAAAAGCATGTCCAAAATTATTAGTATTTCACATTTGGAAAAATGGGAGAAATACTTATTTCATTTGGCATAGATGCCATAATCGAACAGAAAGCTGATGATCTGTGGTTAAAAAATAAAATAAGAAACGGCGGGCTCAATGGCTCTCTGACTGTGTCACTCCTTCCAGCTGCCTCTATGCAGAATGACCTTAACCAGGGTGGCTCGGGGGCCCAGACTGCTAATCCCAAAGGACAGGTCACCTGGTCCCTCAAGGAAGAGAAGAGCAGGCTGCTGGCAGAGGCGGCAGTCGAGCTGCAGGAAGAGAACACAAGGCAAGAGCGGATCCTGGCCCTCGCCAAGCGGCTGGCTGTGCTTCGAGGACTGGATCCTGACGGAGGTAGAGCCTGGGGAGCAGCCACTCCCTCGTGTCCATTGGTCAAGGCCTCTCCCACCCCAGGCTGATCTATGCAAAATGATTGTACTCTCTGCCAATGCTGAGTCCAGAGACTTAGTGACCTCTGCCCAGGGTCATCAAGAGGTGCTGGGGCAAAGCAGTGGATAAGAAATCAGTGGCAGCTATCAGGGGAGGGGAACCTCGGGCCCTTCAGGTGCTGAGGGGTGGGGTGGGGCAGGGTCCCTGGGTAATGCAAAGGCTGATCAGAGTGGCTGCAGAGGCTGCTCTGAGATAAGTGCTAGCTTTCTGGGGGCAAGAGTACAGCCATTCAAATGACATTTCTCAACTTCACTCTTCCTTCTTCTGCTCCTGTCTCTCTCCAAGTGACTCTCCAGGACTATCGCCTTCCGGACAGTGATGATGATGAGGATGAGGAGACAGCCATCCAGAGAGTCCTGCAGCAGGTGGGCCCTGCCTTGCCCTCAGACCACCCTTGTTCTCTCTGCCTCATTGCCCTACCACTCACCTGGCCCCATCCACCCTATCACCACTCTGGGCCTGGACGGGCAGTTATTCTGCGGCTCCTATTCTAGCTGGGTTCCCACTGCTTCTGTGACTCAGGCCTGCCCCTGGTTCCTTAAGATGGGGAATCAGCAGCCACAAGTAAGTAAAGAATGATGAGTTGAGAAACTGAGGCCACAGGGCACAGAAATGCCAGGAAGGGGTACCTGGGCCCGGAGCAGGGAATTGTTCCTCTTCACCCTGTCCACAGCTCACTGAAGAAGCTGCTCTGGATGAGGCAAGTGGCTTTAACATACCTGCAGAGCCAGCTCACCGACCCCGGGTGCAACCCCCCAGGGCAGAGCCTGAGGTGAGAAAAGCCCCAGATACAGACCTCCAAGCCATCACCACAGCCATCCTCCCTGCCTGACCAACTGCTCCCATACCGCTTTGGCTACCTTGCTTTCCCCCTCTTCCTGTCTGGTTCCTGAAGGCCCAGGCCGGAGCCCCCAGGCCTGAGGCTGAGGCAGAGGAGCTCCCTTGGTGCTGCATCTGTAACGAGGACGCCACCCTGCGGTGTGCTGGCTGCGACGGAGATCTCTACTGTGCCCGCTGCTTCCGGTGGGTGCAGGTAGAGTGTTCTGTGTGACTGGGAGGGTTTGAGGGCTGGCTGGGATCCCTGAAATGCATTCTTTCTCTCCCAGGGAGGGCCATGATGCCTTTGAGCTTAAAGAGCACCAGACATCTGCCTACTGCCCACCGCAAGCAGGCCGAGAGCACTGAAGAAATCCTAGTCCACCCAGAAAGGCAGTCCTACAGGCGGTCCCACAAGCTGGGCCACCCAACACTGGGCCCAGCCCAGGGTGTCTGCTGGGAGCGTGCTGGCATCAGCAGGCCATGCTGCTGTTGGATATACCCCTTCCTGAGCTTTGGTGTTCCTGGAAGGAGGAAGGATTCTCTACCCAAGATGACTGGAGGACCCAGAAGGATAGCAGAATCGGGAATTGTAGAGCCAGGAAGCTTGGGCTGGAAGCAAGAAGCATGATGAGGAAAGGACCAGACTGAATCTAAGGATGACCCCTGAAACCTAGCTTAAGGGGCCCACGGCCCCAACCTGTCACTTCATGGGTTTAATACAGTTTGTTGATTCCATGGGTGCAGTGTCTCTTACCTCTTGAACCTTGTGAACCCCAAGTCTGGGCCCTGTGAGATGCAGCAAGAGCAGAGTAGGCTACAAGCCTAGTCCTGTGGGGTAAGAGAAAGGGTTGAGCTATCCTGGAAGCTACTCTGGGGAGGAGCAGTCACACCCTGATCAAGTGGCCTCATCCTTAATAAACATGAATATTCATTTCACTGAACTGAACTATGCTCCCTGCTCTGGGCAGCCCAGCTTAGCCACCAGGCCCCACCATCTTGGATTTCTCAGCCCCTGTAATGTTCACACAAGGCATGAAGGAAATACGTGGGTCTGAATGGGCTAGACCCAGCTTGCTGCTTTATTCTGAAAGGACCCCACCTCCAGAGCACCTGTCCCAACCTGCCCTCTCCCAACCTCTGATCTCTCAGCTTGTACCCTTTACACTCCTCTACATAGCCTCTGCTTTTTTCTTTCTGTCTCTGACTGGAGCCAGGTTAAGAAAGAGCCCGAGACCTGGATCTTTCGGCATTACAGAAGGGCTTAGATTTCACTGATGGCCACAAATCCAGATAGGTTTTTCGTGTTACCTCCCCTCTGGGACTTAAAACTAGTCTTTCCATCTTGGGCCCCTCCTGTTGGTGATGCCAGGATCCTGAGTGTCTTGCTGAGTGTGCTCTGCTTGGGCTCTGAGCCTTGCTAGCTCCCTGGAGCAGAGTTAGGATCTTTATCTTTGAACTTTCAAGACCTGTTTCCATGAATGAGTTGATAAATGAATGAGATCTGTGAGTAGAACCTAGTCTTAGTAACTCAGGATATTAGCCTTCCAGTGTATCAATCACTTCACCCTTTCCTTTCCCCTATCTTCAGCACAGATAGGCTTCACACTTCATTCAGCTGGGGCTCCTGATGGTTTTATCCACGTGGCTGCTGCCAAGGAAATCATTGGGCAACAGTGTACCTGGCTTTCAGAAAGCCGGCCAACAGGAGCTAGCTGTGACCGCACATCCACTAGGAGTGTCCAAATGTCCTTCCTAGTCTGCCACCTTCTTTGCCGGTGTCCCAAGGGGTTGTTTTCCTCTCCACAGCCCAGGATCCAGATGTTCAGAGTGGGCCTGGGCAGTGCTGAGGCTGCTGAAGGTAGTCTCACAAGGCTTATTTCTGAGGCCTGCTGAGTCTCCAGAGTCTCTTGAGTTGACTGAGTAGTTCAGAGATAAAGGCCTTTTGGAGGAACAGAGGTGGGATCAAGACATAAGGTTATGCCCATTACCACCCTGCCCTCCCTAATTTCCCCTGACCTGTTTTGCCATATGTGGGGAAGGGGCCAAAGAACTAGGCCAAGTCTTCTTTCAAATCCTCCTCTTCTTTAGCTGCCCCTCTCACTGGCCTTCTCTTACCCCTATACCAGCAGAGAGAGCATCCCTTACCTCTGTGGGGCGGGGGCAGTTTTGGAGAATGGCCTGGATGGAAAGAGAGCAGAGAGCAAGTCACCAAGTTACAGCCCCACTCAGACCCCAAGAATTCTCCCCCCTCTAAATTAGTTCTCCTCACTCCACCCAAGGAGACAGAGCCTAGGTTCTTAAGTTCCCCTTGGTCCAAATCCATCTCCAAGCCTTCACAACTTGGGCCTAGGCTGAGGCCCCCCACCAACCTCCAAATGAGTCTTCTGCTCCTCTGAGGATAGTTCCATGAGAGCCTCCAGGTCAATCTCAGGCTGGGAAGGGGCTGGTTGATCCTGTTTGGGAATCAAATGGAGCTCAGAGGCCTAGCTAGTGATACTAGAGTTACCAGCCAGGAGCTCACTGACCTCCCTTCCTATCTTCCTCCTATTTCTCAAGTTTAGCCCTTCTCCTCACTTTACTCAAAACATTCATTGATTCTTCCATTCCATAACAATTTACCAAACATTTGCTGTGTTCTACCTGAAATAGTGCTAGAGTTCTTTGAAAAAAAGTGGTTTAATTTCAAAATTTATTATGTACATTGGTAGGAATGTAAAATGGTACAGCTGCTTTGGGAAACAGTTCCTCAAAATGTTAAACATAGAGTTATCATATGATATAGCTATTCTACTTCTAGGCCTATACACAAGAGAAGTTAAATTATACATCCACATAAAACCTTCCACATGAATGTCTATAGCAGCATTATTATAAAGCCAAAAAGTGGAAATAACTCAAATGTCCATCAACTGATGAACAGAAAAATAAAATGTGGCATAGCCATGCTATTGCTAATTGCTGTCAAGTTAGTTCTGACACATGGCGACCCCATGTGTGCATAGCAGGACTACTCCATAGGGTTTTCAAGGCTGTGACCTGTCAGAAGCAGATTGCCAGGCCTGTCTTCAGAGGTGCCTCTGAGTGGGTTCAAACCATCAACCTTTCAGCTGATAGTCAAGAACTTCATCGTTTGCACCATCTAGGGTATAGCCATACAGTGAATATTACTGAGCAATAAAAATCAATGAAGTACCAATACGTGCTACAGTATAAATGAACTTTGAAAACGTCATGGTAGTGAAATAAGCCAGTCACAAAAGATCACATTTTATATGAAATGTCCAGAATAGGCACATCTGTGGAGACAGAGATAGATTAGTGGTTACCAGGGTCTTGGAGAGTGGTGGTGGTAAGAAATGGGGTATGGTTACACTTGGATATGGGGTTTCTTTTTGAGGGGATGGTTGTACAATCCTGTAAATGTCTAAAAACCATTAAATTTTACAAATAAATGGTTGACATGTATGTGGTTTATATATCAGTACATCTGTTTTTTTTTTTTTTTT